TTTGTCTGAGTTCCCCTCGTTTGTCTGAGTTCCCCTCGTTTGTCTGAGTTCCCCTCGTTTGTCTGAGTTCCCCTCGTTTGTCTGAGTTCCCCTCGTTTGTCTGAGTTCCCCTCATTTGTCCGAGTTCTCCTCGTTTGTGCGAGTTCCCCTCGTTTGTCTGAGTTCCCCTCGCTTGTCCGAGTTCCCCTCATTTGTCCGAGTTTCCCTCGTTTGTGCGAGTTCCCCTCGTTTGTGCGAGTTCCCCTCGCTTGTCCGAGTTCCCCTCGTTTGTCTAAGTTCCCCTCGTTTGTCTGAGTTTTCCTCGTTTGCCACTCACCTCGAGATGGACCTCAGCCACAGTCTGCCACCAGCGTCCCCACGCCACTCTGCACTCTACGATGCCACTCTTCTCATCGAAATGACACTCAGACATCCTACGCAGAGTTGTCCCAAACTATTATACCAGGAAACTTGTATTTATTCCTAATTTATTATTCATTGAACTTTTAAATCTGTAATCTTGTATTCAAGCAGTTTTGCTTAGCAGTTTTCTTAAATTTCACATTAATATATGAATAAAAATATATTTTTGTTAATTTTACATCAATATATAAAGTCGCGCAGTTAATTACCTGTAACGATTAACCTAGTAGTAAAATATATCAATTATTGCTGTGAATTTGTATGAATTCATACGTTAAATAGCAATAGCGTCGGAAAATGTGAACTAAGACTATAAAATAACTAGGGACGACTTTAAGTCACGAATATTAATTTAAATTGAAAAATTTATTCATTACTTTTCACACTTGCTAAATGTAGAAAATGACATTCGCTAATTTTTCCGCGCGTAGCTCTGATACGACATAATGCCGGGCCAAACATGGTTAGGATGACTCACATATTTCAGCAAGTGCGTCAATATTCAGACAAAATCCCAAGTCTCTGCCGTTATGAAAATAACATCGCACGCTCATGCCGAAGTGACGTAGTATATACGCATAAAAATTAGTAAAACCTTGTCCAAAACTGACGTAGTTTATATACGCATAAAAATTAGTGAGACCTTGTCCAAAACTGATGTAGTCTATATACGCATAAAAATTAGTGAGACCTTGTCCAAAACTGACGTAGTCTATATACGCATAAAAATTAGTGAGACCTTGTCCAAAACTGGCGTAGTCTATATACGCATAAAAATTAGTGAGACCTTGTCCAAAAGTGACGTAGTCTATACGCATAAAAATTAGTAAGACTTGGTCTATATATCAATGCACGTTCTCCAATGTATGCGCCATCCTGACCGAGTCGGTGGAAGAACGTATTAGTCTTACATGCAGTAAGTGTCTATACTTGGACAATTTGACCAACTGATTTCTCCACCACATTTCATCGCATCTTGTTAATTAATTTATTTTAATAAATGAATAATTATCATATACATGACTCGGGGTCCGGGGGGGCGTCCTGATCCCCCCGTGGGGGAGAGAGCCCCCCCACCCCCTGCGGCCTACGAGTGCAGAGACAGTGCAGTACCGCAGTGCAGAGACAGTGCAGCACCTCAGTGCAGAGACAGTGCAGCACCTCAGTGCAGTACTGCAGTGCAGAGACAGTGCAGCACCTCAGTGCAGTACTGCAGTGCAGAGACAGTGCAGCACCTCAGTGCAGTACCGCAGTGCAGAGACAGTGCAGTACCTCAGTGCAGAGACAGTGCAGTACCTCAGTGCAGAGACACAAGGAATAATGATGGCGTATTTAAAAATGTACAAGGTTTAGGCCGCCCATATTCCTTCGTGTACACAATTACTTTAACTGTACAAAAACCAGCAGGCAAGTTGCCGGTTTTACCAGGCATAGAATTAAAAGCGTAAATAATTTGTTTCCAATCGTCGATTAAAGACACTTTCTTTCCATTACGAGGGATCAAACTCTAACATAAATAGTCTAAGGTCATTAATGAAGATAATATTTAGTCATTTAGTAAGGTTCTTCCTCCGTCTACACTCCCAACCGTCGGTCAATACGGCAATTACAATAAATTCTACCAGACCCTTCAAAGTTAGGATCAAGAACCGCCACCAAAGCCGGGAACAGTACAAACTATTTAATTTTAAACAAAGCCGGGAATAGTACAAACTATATACGTACTTCTATCGAGCATAACTTTGGATGGATTGAAATTACTTGATTCATTAATATTCGGGCATGAAATTCCAGAATTAATGTGAGTTTACATTAAGTGCACTGAATATACGAAGTGAAAAAAATTGCGTGCTTATAAACTCTGCTTTCTTTATGATGCCTTTTGCAGGAGTGCATCTGGTGCTGCAGGTGTTGGGACTTGGATCGTTGTTGCACATTTCGAGCAAAAAAAATTTTATATGATTGATGACAAGAAAAAATCAATATTTATTGAGGATAGCATAGAATGAATAATGGTTAATGGAGTTTAAAATAAATAATACCGCGTGAAGATAACCAAGGAAAATTCATGGCGTCCTTTGAAGCTTTACACGAGCGAGAATGTGCAATAAACTTCGTGCCAACAGAACGAAGTTGATAAGGAGAGAACAGGTCAACACTGTTCTCTGCACCATGCGGCACAGCATGTAACAGCAGTTCACTGTTCAGGCATTTTGGAAGTTTGAATTATTTCAAGTTCAATTATCCTATTAAAGGTTGTTTGAAGTAACAAGATAAGTGTAAATTATAACAAAAGTTTAATTATGTACAATAACTGGAGGCCGTACAAACTAACTAGTTACAAGAGAATGTTCTTGACACGGACACACGAAACGGACTTAGCAGCAAGTTTGTAAAGCAAAGCTAAAGCTTTCTAGCAAGGGCGAATTTTCTGAATATTTAGCCATTCAAACAGATTCGCCACCGGAATCGTATATAGATGAACGATCGTTTGAGAGACTAAATGAGAAAACCAGCCGTTAGAATCTCTAGCTTGCCGCTACAACTGCACTCACAATGACAAATCATATAGTCCATTTAGTGATACACTTTCAAACGCACAGCAGGAGTAAAATTTGAATATTAAATTCAAATTCGAAAATTAAATTTAAAAAGCGAACGCAGCACTGATACGTTTCGAATATTAAATTCAAATTTGAATTCTAGATTTAAAGAGCGAATGCAGCACTGATACACCCTTTTACTGGGTAAGAATTACCCATCCTAGGCATTAGATGCATCACTACGTACATAACTATATGGACAAATTTTCACTAATTTTTCTTAATGTACGCAGACACAGCGAACACAACAGTATTAAGTGCCTCAGGATGCCTCACGACGCCTCAAGAACCCTCAAAATGCCTCAGGATGCCACAGGACGCCTCAGGACATCTTAGCACCCCTCAGGATGCCTCAGGACATCGTAGGACCCTCAAAATGCCTAAGGATGACTCATGAGGCCTCAGGACGCCCCAGTCAGAGACTTCTGTTGTTCCTGAAGCTTCTTCATGGTCTCCTCGTCAAGGTTGCTCAGCGACTGCAGCTTGCGCCCAACTTGCTCGTGGATTTCCCAATATTTTGCAACACATCTGAAAAAATGACAAATAAATTATGACTAGTTAATTTCTGAAGAAAAGCTTGAAATAATAACGTTTAATATTTACAAAGATTTGCAATGGAACTGCAACTCGTTACAATAAGCTTAGTTGGAGATAACTACAGGAGGAAGGCATTGCCTAGCAGTGCTGTGCAACCACGCGCCAAAAATTACCGGTGTTGCAAAATTTGGATAATTTGATATAATAAACCGGGGCACTAACGTAATTGGTTTATTGGTCATCATTCATGTGCATCCTCCAACTGGCATCATAATTATGAACTGCTTCAGCCAGGATTGGGTAAGTTTTGAAGTTACATTGAGTTGCCACATCACCTGTCAATGCACACGGCCTCCCCCTTGCCCAGCCACCACATCACCTGTCAATGCACACCGCCTCCCCCTTGCCCAGCCACCACATCACCTGTCAATGCACACCGCCTCCCCCTTGCCCAGCCACCACATCACCTGTCAATGCACACCGCCTCCCCCTTGCCCAGCCACCACATCACCTGTCAATGCACACCGCCTCCCCCTTGCCCAGCCACCACATCACCTGTCAATGCACACCGCCTCCCCCTTGCCCAGCCACCACATCACCTGTCAATGCACACCGCCTCCCCCTTGCCCAGCCACCACATCACCTGTCAATGCACACCGCNCACCCTCCCTGCCTTCGCCCACCTCCCCCCTCTTCCGGTTCCGGCCCCCCGCCCGCCACCAGAGCCTCCCCCCCGGCGAGTGTGATGGTCGCAACTAACAACAATAACAACCAAATCACCTGTCAATGCACACAGCCTCCCCCTTGCCCAGCCACCACATCACCTGTCAATGCACACGGCCTCCCCCTTGCCCAGCCACCACATCACCTGTCAATGCACACAGCCTCGCCCTTGCCCAGTTCAGCATCCTTAAACTTGCTGGGGATGCACTTGGCGTGGCATGCGTTGGTCATGCGCGTGTACATGTCGGACATCATCTCCACCTCAAGGTCCTGCACCAGCCTCATCTGGTCGGCCGTCATGCCTGCTAAGTTTGCCATCACTTATTCTCTGTATCTTTGCTCTTCACAATCGAAGGAATAACCTGAAAAAACAGATCACAATTAGCTTCTGTACATAGATGATTGTAATACATGTAATTAATTATGCATACCCTGGTACTGATATCATTCAACTTATTTATGCTGCCAATATTACAATGATATATAGTATATATTATATATACCACATGAATTTTACCAACTGTCAGTTGATGCAGATGTTATGTATACATGACATGGAGAAGTGAATAAAAATAGTGTTCTCCATGCCTCAATACAGAAGGAGTAATCTGGTGCTATGGTGCCTATCATTGAACCAGCTCATTAAATGTTTTATCATAGAAACGGTTCTGAATTAGATCCAGAGTGCAGAGACCTCATTGAGAAGCCTAATGAGATACCAGGCAGACTTCATCAAACAAGTTGGTGCATGACCCATTAAATGTTTGAAATATGTAGGTAGCATTTATGACTTGAATAGGTAGGTATAAAAAATAACATAGATTCTGAATATAACAAGTCTGGAGGCTTTTGGTTTCATTTAAAAGATCTTCTATATTGGAATATTCTGAAATGTCTCCTGTAGGTACTTTATTGAGTACAAATCTACCTCATAAGTGGAAGAAAGGCGAAAAGCTAGCTATAATATACCTAATCATATACAGATTAAATACCTATATTCACGAGTGCTCCAATAATTTGGACATCAATGGCTACAATCCAGTTGGTAGATATTATCTATTACATCTGCCACAAATCCTCTCAGTTTAGATTAAATATTCAATACGGTACACCCAGTGAAAAGTTACTGTATGCCTTTGGCAGTGATAAGTCATGCTAGTAAAGTGAATTACTAAGTAAAAGTGTTGACAAATTACCTTGTGAATTCTTTAAAACTCAACCAGATTTCGAGGATTCTTCACCAGCTCTTTCAACAGCTCTCATTATCCGTTCACGAACTTTCTTATTTTCTTTGCGCTGTTGGATGACCGATGTCTTGGCCAAAGCAAAAGACCCTATACCAGCAGCAATCACCAATACCCTGCACATAAAAATCCTATTTAATAAAAGCAAGGATTCAACCTTGAAAATGACATTCCATCAACTCAGAAAACAATGATCTTAACTTAAAATGTACGACAATGAGAATATCTGAAAATTATGAAAATAAAGGTGATGAAATAAATACATGTAATAAATATTAAACACACATGTCTACAAATAAACATAACACTATCATTTGGCTCCCAAAGCAATGGAATCCTGCAATACAAAGTGTTAGTTACAAATGTACTTCACCATGCATCTGTGCTATGCTGAACAACCAAAAGTGCTGTCAAACAGGAAAATAAGGGATGGTTCAAGCATTTTTTGTTAACAACTTCTTACCATGAAACATTTTATAAACGAGTGTAAGCTCATTTTAAGGGGAGTGTCTAGGGTAAAATTTATCTCGGCTATTTACGTACAAACGGATCACTCTGAAACTTGGTACACATATGTAAAATAGAATTCTATGACATTTTTGTTCGTGTGAATTTTTCGAAAAAATGAAAGAAAACGTGAAATTCTTAGAAAACAGCCAAAAAAGGGGGTACCGTAGAAATCTATCTCCTCCTAGGATTTTCAAGCTACAACATTGAGACACATATCATTCGATGCGTAAAGACCATATCTAAAACGCAACACGAGGGTTTTTAGGATTTCTCATTTTTGTGGGTGTGGGAGCATTTTTCGTAAATTTTTCACAAATTTTTCGATTTTCCCCCCGCTACCACCCCTTTTGCGGAATAAAATCCAAACTATAATGAAATTAGAAAAATGCCCATGTTACGTTCTAGATAATTTTGTTGCGCATCGAATGGTATATGTCTCATTGTTGTAGCTTAAAAACTCTAGGAGGAGATAGGTTTGCAGTGACAATAAGTTAACTTTTCAGTACAGCCCGTCAAAGTCCCGCGCGCATCGGAATAGGCACTCAATGTAGCACGGATACAAAACTAAACGTTACTGGAGCTTGATTCCAGTCAAGGATGGTGGGAGCAACTGCATGCACACCTCCTCATACGACGCTAGGCGGGTAACTAAGGTGCACTTCAAGCAGACACTCTATTTAAGGTGCTCGCAGCGAATTTCCTCCCATTCTATTTGTTGAAGAACTACCCCACCCCCCTCCCTTTCATGATCTGTCGTGAACGCATAAATCAACGTACAGAGATGGTTTTGGTACCGTTGGATAGATCAGAATGTCAGCTTTAAGATGAGACTAAAAACCGGAAAAGCCGAAATCCAAAATTTTACCCTAGACGCTCCCCTTAAAGGTCTTTGCAAGGGCTATTGTATGGCATCTCCAGAAAAATTCCATATGCTATTCAAAAGGTGCTAGACACAAAATAAGAGCGTCCCAAATTGTTCCTTGGGAATTGGGTAATGGTAATCTGGGACACTTGAAATAAAACTTGATTTTAAAAAACGTTTGAAGCATGCAGGGTGCACTCATCCATTACTAACAGTACTCAGAAGTCCTCCTCTTCCTTTGTAGATGACAGATGTAGAATAGATGAAATTTTCTGTGATTTTTACCTGTTCTTCCTTTCTGATATGATATAACCATATCCATACATTAACATATTATTGATGTGATATTACTGTATCTGATATTACTGTGCCATTAAGCATTGACAATGACCTTGTCCACAGCAAGCTTCATTTCAGCAATGGTCAGGAAGATGTGCCAGGTGCACAGGAATTTATATTGTCATTTCATTATTCTGCGCCATACTATGTCAGTAAAAAATGCGCCGTGGGCAGCAGCACTCCTAAAAGGCCAAAATAGTTCAAATATGGATGTGCAGCAACCCTATCACACACAGTAACCATGAACGTATATCCGCACTTTGTTGCGGTTGGATATGAATTGACTAGATTGTTAAGGCATCAACCCAGGTAGGAAGATTCTTTCATAGATCAGAATTTGAGCGGACATGAATCACAGAACTAAAGAAAGCAACATTGCTCAAGATGTGCCATCAGTGCCTTCTAATGATTGACTGGTTGTGGCAAGTAAGGCACAAATCTGTACATCAACAGTACAAACCTGTATGCCAACGTCAGGACTACTTTCCCCAACATCCTCTCGGCCGGCAAAATAGACATGATCAATACCTAATAACAATGTGCATAAATGGACAATACAAATCAAGTCAATACAGCATAATTATAGAGCATAATTAGACTATGTAATACAAAATATTCATGAAGAAACTGATCTCGTGATCTATGCAAAATTCTCTTCCAGAGTCTGTAACTACTTCTCCAGAACGAATAAGGTTATCGTTACCGACAATCAAAGGAATTACTGTTTCTAATTTCCCAAATACACAAGGGTGATCGCTATGAATTTGTACAATGGGTATTTCTTATCTCAACAGTATTACGTACTAGAAGTTACATTGCTGGACTTAGATCTTCCATGAAGTGAAGTCAGATAGTCCAAATGCCAGCATTCCCTAAAACTATTAAGGAAAAGTTGATTGCAAGTTAAACATTTGGTCAGGATGGTCTTTTCATTCAGGGATGGGTTGCCAATATCTTCAATGTTGATTGGGTCTGGAATTTGATTGAATATCTTTGATATCTCCTGAATGATAAGTCCATGGTCTATCGTTTTTTCTTTGCTTCTTTTGAGCAATTATGGTTTCCAAATCTGGGCGCATCATGTTATGTCATGTGGTATACTTTGAATGTGAAAAAATTAGAACTATAATATGAAAGAACTTTGTTACATACGGTAGGTTATCATAGCACGAATCGCAGTGAACTATCAAGATTGCAGTTCTGCCACCAGACTTCATTGAATTATCCCACCTTTTTTCTAAAATTCAACAATCTCTTTTCTAGCAAAGTTTTTGAAATTCATTAGCTGCATAAGATACCGGTACTCTCTGCTGCGGTGGTCAAGTTCCGGTTGGCATGACATCTGTTTGCTTGTTTGATGCTAATTTCGTACAGGTTGCTTCAGATGAACTTATCATTGCCATTCCCATGTTTCACCCTTAATGTAATGTAGCTAATGATATTGAATGGCATTATTCATACAAACTTGTGTCTATTAAACATTTAAATTTTAAGACCTGCTGGCAGCGGCGATAGTCACTAACAATATAAGGATGTAGATAAAAGCTTTAATGATCTAAAAGCGGGCTTCAAAAAAAAAAAAAAACATTTCAACATGGCTATAATTAAATAAAGATCATTACTTGTAGTTTAATAAACATGGAATCTCCCTATTAAAAAGTTATATTTTGTTGGTCATTTAAGTTTATATCAACTACACGATTTGAACCAACACTAATAAAATGCAAGACATATAGTACAGCTTAAATCTGACACTCCACTTATTGGATACAGAACCTACAGTAATTGTAAACTGCGACTTTTAAACAGATGGCCTTACCATATGCATTCGAAGAAAATTTCTTCTAAAATAAAGTTCTAGATTTTTCATTCACCAAATTTCCGTTCCAAGGAAAATCATATATTATTGAAGGATAATTAAAAGCATACTGTACGGAGTATTTTGTCTGTTCCTCAACAAACTGCTCTTGCGTGGCATAGAATTGATAGCCGGGATTGCGCAAACACCTGCGCAAAGAGAAAATATTTAGACGATTTTGTGCAAACTGCGCAAACCTATGACTTCCAAAAACTCGTTATGTGAGGGAAAATTTCCCAAAAACATACAACATCCCGAGTTTGGCATTTCAGCAGCCGTAAAGCATTTCTTCTTTATCTGAAAGCTTACAGGTGACAGGATGGCTTGTAATTTAGCACCATTTTAATTTGGTAAAGTAAATTCACTATAAAAAAATTAGAAAAACATATCTGAAACAGAAAGGAATATTTTAGTGAAAACCATCATATATTTTGGAGAAAGATTGAGGCACCGCAATCTGTATAGGATTGAGGTGCCAAAATTCTATCAATAAAGTTTTAAAGCCATAACCTCTCTACAACTTTTTTCAGCAAAGTTCTTTGATATGGAAAATATTTTTTTTACTATAGACCTTAGCACTTCAACAGAAGTAGGCTACATACTTTTAAAAAATATGACTTTTTGACATTTTTTCCAGGATTTGCTGAGAATATTAATGTATGATTCATTGACTTCCTTTATGTTACATTTAAAGAAAAAAACCAAAGTATATGACACTATTTTTAGTTTTACAATATTTCAATAAATTAAATTAGTTTGGACTTTGGATGTACCTAGGATCAGGGGTGGAATACATCTACTTTTAACGGAAATTTCGCGGCCCGAGATCTCCCATTTATATGTATGTTTGAAATCTCGCGGCTCGGAAGTCAGGTAAAATATATTGATTTAGAAATGTCGCGGCTCCGAAATGGGTCACGTGACGTGTGATGGAAGGGCAAGCCAGCGTGCTTGAGAAATAGACTTACGGCTTGAAAATTCATTATTTCGCGGCTCAAAAAATCCAGTCGCGGCTCACAGAGTAGATCTTTTCCTGACTTGCCTAGGATAATAACATTTTTATGCCATGGCAGTTGGCAGAGCAAACATGGAAAACATCTACCTTTAGGGCTGCAATTAGAACTTTCCTGCCATTTCCAGAACGGCGAGATTTCTGTCAGATTAATTAGCTACCTCCTACCTAATTGTTAACAAAAGTGCACAATTGGGCTGCAAGATTCCAATTGTATAAAAATTTTGTCACGTTGGAGCCGCAAGATTTCAGAAACAAGTAGAAAAATTTCAGTCCTGTCAGCATAGTGGCAAACCAGTGATTTTTTAGAATCAGTTTATTTTTAATTTTCCCATTTACTCAAGATTTAAACCAATATCTTGTGTTAGTTGTGTATGATGGTGCTGGTATCCCTGATACTTTGCTGGTCTACTTATAGGACTCAAAACTGAACTTGAAGGAGAGTCTAAAAAACTCTCTGCAGTCTGCTTTGCCACTATGCCTGTCAGGCAGAGTAATTTACTGCATCTGTCCCTTATTTAGTTATTAGTTAATCCTAGTTATTTGGTGTGGACTGTTGAGACGAGGAAATAGGAATTAAACTTACCAGCCAACGGCAACTTTGGTTACAGGAGACTTTAAACGAAACATGGAAGATCTGGCGATGACTTAAAATAAAAGTACTCTATTTTTCAGCTTTCTTTGCCTGCTTGACAAGCTTCATGCGGGATTGGCATTCGATAGTTCTTCTACTACCGGCACCGACAACATTTACAACGCTACTCCATAAGTAAGCACATGTGAAACAATAAATTCTAAAAGCCGGAAGTTTGGTACGACAAAATCCTCATCCCGAGCATCAGCGGTACATTTTTTTCATTTCATAATTCCTGAAAATCTGTTAAACTATCCCCTTAGGTTCGCAATGAATTTTGCGCATAGCAAAATATTCATAATAAAGGATACTTTTCACAATTTCAATACATTTTGACGATATATATGACAATGAATTTTGCATTAATACATTTCACATGTGATATACCTTAGTAAAGATATAAAATAATGGTAGGTCTGAAAATTTAAGTAAAATAACCGACGCATAGAAACGTGACTGAGGGAATGTCCATTGTATGTGAGCTTGTTGCGGTCTCGCACACGCAAGTCAATGCTCCACTTCTGCTGTGCCTAAATGCTCGGCTGCATTGCCGATTTGACCAAAAACTGTCAAAGAGGGCTGGAATCGAACCCGCAACTCTTTGCTCGAATCTTGGTACTCTGAACTGTAACCTCTGGTACACCCTTATAGCAGAAGATCAGCAATTACAATAACAACTCAGTAGTGTTGATATAAGTGTAGGTATCATTGTGAAAGTTACAATGCATAAATTTGTTTGTAATGAGTTGAAACGCCGTAAGCTTTAACTGTTTCTTCAGCTCATCCAAGTTGCTTCTGCTGAAATGACGATTTAGTACAAATATTCAATTGTGGATCTTAAATTTATCCGTTTGTTTATACAGAAGCCTTTCAAATTCGGACTGGAAACTCAAGTAGAAAAACCAAGATCTATGTCATGGGCCTATGTCTTCAACGCCGACACTTCTATTCTATTCGCAACCCTCAGCTGCCAAGTGAATTCGCGCGGTTCCCTCAGCGTGCAGTTCTCAACCCTCAGCAGACTAACCAATGAGATGTGAGCACCAAAACGTTTCGTCTGATGCCTGAGCGAAGTTTTCTTGAGACACTAGTGTGTACGAGGCTTCCGCCGTGGGTTGTTCGTGAAACTTTTTAGATTTATTTCAAGGATTTATATTTTTATTGCGAAATATAAGATGTATATTTGCTCCAACTAGATATAAAACTATAATTGAAAATTCATTATATTCAGCATAGAAATCATTCGCTACTGCTGTTCTCTGTAGAAAAGCTGTCCGATGATGAGACTGCAAACCAAAATTTGGACAAAATATTAATTTATTGTGGGACGGAGTTCCAAATATAATATAAACATTAAGCAGGAGTGTTTTCCTGTTTATTTTTCGGTCCGCTTCGTGAAAAATATTGGACACATGTTTTTTTATCAAATCACTGAGAGAAAAATAACACTGCAAAAGTATGCTAATTCAAATCGGAAAATGTGAGTGATGTTTTAGCGTCTAAGCAATTCTGTTATGTTATAACATGTCTAATGCGATTATTTGTTATATTATTCGTATTTTATTAATTTTTTATTACTATACCAGGTGATTTCGTTCATTATCAGTCAATGATTATCACATAAATTGCGTTAAAATGAAGATAAGGTAGCTGGGAGCACCTCTAGGAAAGAGTCTGCCGCCCTCATCATCGCGTTATAAATAGCCTGCAGACAACGCGACGTAGCACTACAGACTACACACTAAACCAACAAACAAAATATTAATTTTTATATCCTTCTATGTTATTCACTATGTAAAAATTTCTGAATATATTTGGTTCTTGATCAGATATGTCTTTGACAAGTTGGGTAGTGCATTTTTTCAAATATTTGTATTTTCAAATGGAGCGGAAAAGTTGCGGAAGTGCACAAGTAAACGATATGTGCAAAATTATTGACCTCTAAGTTGATTCCTTCGTGATTTGAGGGCCGTTTGAAAATGTGAAGAATGAGAAAAAATAATATTCGTATGGAAAAGTCAATGAAAATCCATAGACCATTTGTATGTCACAAAGCGGCAAAATCATAACAAAAAGATTTTTAGTGTAAAAAGATTTTAGTTTAGTATTTCAAATTTCTAATCTCTTTCATATCATCTTCATTATTAGATGATCATAAGAAAATTGAAAAATATAACTCAGTACTGCAGTGAGTGACAGAGAGCGCATTTTCTCGTCGACGAAAACGTGAAGTCACGGACAGACGGACAGATGGACAGACAGACGGACAGACGGACAGACAGACAAACAGACATGACGAGCACAATATATAGCGCCTTTTTTCCATAAATGAGAAAATGCATTAAAAATCAAACTATGCGTGTTTACATTTTTAGAGCTCAATATAATCATTTCCAGGGTCGGAGTGTCACTCTAGAAATGACTAATTTTCCCGAAATTATTGTTTGAGTGTAATGACCATCGGACAGTTGCGACACTCAAGCGCTAGTTCACGATGTTGCTGAGTTTGCGTCTGTATTCGATAGTTAATCGGCATGATAGTTAAGAGGAAATTAACTGTTTGATCTATTCTCTACAAGTATCGGGTAAATATAAAGTAATAAATTGCATTCGAATTTAAATGTAGGCACTCTGCCATCAAGGCCGAATGTAACCTGCGATGTGATTTTTAGTTCATTTTGGTGATTTAGTCCGTCCGTCTGTCCGTCTGTCTGTCTGTCCGTGACTTCACGTTTTAGTCGACGAGAAAATGCGCTCTCTGTCACTCACTGCAGTGAGTACTGAGTTATATTTTTATTTATTTATAAGATAGCTCATTTGACCAGCCTCGCACAAGCGAAGAGACAAAATATATGTTGAACACCGATAGACGATATTTCCGGTTGCCGTATACAATTCATGAATATGGCTTGCAATATTTAGAAAAATTATTTCAAATTAGATTTTCAAAGCTATAAAAATTCACCAAAATGCATCGCTCGCAATTTGGTGCTCAATTCTCTTACTAATATTTATCACATTTTGATCGTGTCTAGTTATAATAAATGTGATTTTCTTCATTAATTATCGCTAACTTCATGTTATACTTGCAGATGGCAACCCCACTTCCTCCCTCCTCCCCCCATCTTCGGTGTTACCACCGCGCGGTTCATCAGTGTTGCCAGATATTGCTGGGGCTCGGTCTGCTAGCGGGTTTCTCGTCACTGGCAGCGGCGGCAATACTGCATGACAGCCTCAGTGTTGCCACAGTTGCGGTGATATAACCTTTAACTTCAATCTAGCGACTAGAACTCTTCTTATCTCTCTTAATCCTCTTCATTTATTTTGTAAAAAGTAGAAAACATCTGCATTTTGAGGATACATCGTCTTTTAATTAATCAAATTCCTTAAGTGAATTTTACACATTGCGGTTGTAACAAACTTATAATTTGATTTATTAAACCTTAACTTATATTATTTAAATTTATAAATTTATTGGTTCCATGCATTTGAAACGAATATTTTCGGTCATAATACTTTAAGAACCCGATGAATGTTCATCATGCTTCAATAAATGAATAGCTAATAAATATAACATTAGTGAATGTTTCGTGTCGCCACAGACGCTGGCGTTCGCAGGGGCGCTCAGTGCCTGCGTGTGTGGGGCTCTGCTGGGGATATTCTGCGCCTCAGGGGCTCCACACAGGTCCCCACACAGGTCCCCTCACTGCACCCCTGCCTGGGCCCCTCACCCCCTCCTCGCAACCCCAGACCTCATCCCGCTGGGGGAGTTTTGGGGGACCTCAAGTCATCCTTCCAAAATCGACCCACAATTAATCCCCGATTACGTGGTTCCTTCAACGCGTGGGGAAAGTCCCACACAAATGTGCCACTGTGGGGAAAATGTCTCAAAAATCCCCATGCTTCATATAAATACTCTGCCAGACTGCAGATACAACGATGCAAATACTGCAGTGAATTAGATATACAATCTACATCCATTTGTAGGAGAAACTGTAACGAAAAATGCAATGTAGGCGTAGAATGTTGAATGTAGTCTTCCGTGACATTCGGTAAAAGATTGGCAATTTTACACAAATAAATTCTAAAAATAACTATGATGTTTTTCCGTTGTGTATGTCATCCTGACACAGTGTGGTCCAGCTAAAGGACGTATATATGAGTGCTAGTGCAGGAAGTGTGTCTATTTGGACAATATGAGAATTTATTTTTCTAAGTGGAAGATGCCACGGACATATACTGTATATACTTACGGTGAGCTTTAAAAAACTCTAAGAAATCCTGGACAATAAACTCTTGTATTCATAGCATAAATTCTAGAAAAATCAATCGTCCCACAATATTTCAGTGTATTTTTTTGCTATATATGTTAGATGTCATCAAAATGGGCTCACGTAATACGTGAAATGAAATGTGTACTCACTTGCCATCAGCTTGCGAGGGCAGAAAAACCGAAGCTATGGCCTCCTGACAATAAACAACATTACTTTCACATTCATTGTGTACAAATATTTATATAATTGTTATTAATTTTCATCATTTGTGTTTGTGTGTAGGCGGCTCAAGATCTACAGAGCTCTATTGTCTATACTTTCTTAGGTTATTTAACGCACATTTTTACCTTATATGTATATATGCTACGTCTGTACTGCAGTTCAGTTTGTTTGCAATTGATCTTTTGTAATTATTTTTTTAACCTTGAATATACATTATATTTTGGCAACATGGGCCATATATCCATGGTCTACTAACGTTTTTTTTCTTTTAATCATATATCTTAACCACATCACTGAAATTACGAATCAATATCAATAATACTAATGGTAAAGTAGTAATCAATAATACTAATGGTAAAGTAGCCTGACAGAATATCAACTACCTGGGGCCATACTGTAACAAATAGCTTGAAGACACATAGTGACCTATATACTGTATTTACAAGTAGCGGCCTAATTACGCTAAGTGGCCTAAGTACACGCAGCGTCCTAAGTATACACATAGCGGCCTAAGTACACGACGCGGCCTAGGTACGCGAAGCGGCCTACGTACACGTTGCGGCTTTAGTTCACGTAGCGGACAATTTCTCGTATGTGATTGGTAGGTTTAGCTTGAAAAGCCGTCCTTACTTAGCTGATTGGCTGCCGTAGTTGTTATAACTATTAACATTTTCTGGTAGTGTGGCCCCTGGGGTCCACCAATTTTGATGGGGGCTCCTGGCCTCGGGTCCCCTTTTTTTGGCTTCTGGCCCGTTTAGGGCCAGGAGCCAAAGGGCCCCTCTAGGGCCCTTTGGCTCCTGGCCTAGGGCTCCTATAACCGCGGGCCCTATTTTGATAGGAACAAGACCTTCTGTTGGGATCAGACTTGAGTCTTGTTTGTTCCGCCAGGCTGCGGGCTTTCCTGTTGGGGTATTGAACTCTGTTGGTTCTGCCGGCTGGTGGCTTTCTGTTGGGTTCATAAAAAGTCCCATTGATCCCCCGGATGGCAGATCTCCTCCTGCTGGCCCCATACAAAAGCCCCGGGTGTCCCAAAGATATGGGGTTCCCTCGGGTGTAACTTACACAAACCGGCTAAATTATTTGAAAGTTGTTCCACTGGATCGTGAATTACATTATCTGCAAGTGCATCTGATGCTAACCAATATACTTTCGTTTGTGTAAGTGCCGTTTACATCTGAATTTCTTACTTTGCTTTACTTTGCTCTATTAAAATTTTAAAAATATATGTTAGAATTTGGATCTAACTCGATGTTAACATTATCCGATGTCATGCTGAACCTTTGAAATTAATGTAAATTGCGAGCTTAAAAATCTTTAAATGAAACTAATATTAAAACATGAAGCCCGCGTTTTTGCCTATCACATATGCCATATAGCGGCTTTCCTTTTCATTCACGCCAACTTATCCCTAACCGCGTATATAAACAAATTAACTACGGATTTTTGCGTAGAATATACTGTTTTTCTGTATTGTAAGAAGTAAATTTATTTATTTTGTTTATACATCCCGTCAAAAATTATCTGCAATTTTTTCAATGCTGAGAAACATTAAATTACTGTTCATTTTTTCACTCATCAACTTTCCTATCTTTAAACTATTTTCCACTTCATTTCATGTTGCTTATTCATGATCATGTTACGCGCACATATTATCTACAACTCTGCTTTGTCATTCTATATACATAGTACGGCAAAAATGATTGGAATCAGAAATATATCGAGACTTTAAATAAAAGAAAATAATTATGTTCATACGCATCACTTTAAGCAGAAATGGATACGATAGTTATAAATGATGTTATCAGAGAACTAAAAAATAGTTGACAAAGTATATGTGAAAGTTACCGATAGGATTGTGTTGAAACGCATCTTGATTATTGGGATCGAAGAGAAAGATTGTTTCATGTTGTGTTTTTTTAATAATCATCTGATGTTATGGTGCAAAACATCACAGGACTGTAAAGGGAAATATGAATTTGAAGGAAAACCCTAATCAGATTACACTATATTTCGAATAAATATAAAAACTATCAATCAAAAACCTGAATATCCCCTATAGAATTTCAATGAACGGAGAACACTAAGCTTATTGACAGGATTGGTTGAGCGTTGAATAGAAAGAAACCCTAGTCGATGTTGGTGACAAAAATTATCATAACAAATGATCATTGAAATGAAACTTTAGCAAACTGAGGTTGCCCCCTCACTAGTCTATCCCACGACGAAACTCTGCGCACACTAAATACTATACCAATGAAATATCATATAATACAAAGAGAGTTCCCAGGTGAAGTGTTCACTAGACGAAGACCTCAAGTTCTCGGACGGAAGGATCCGAAGCTGAAGGCAGCGCCCGCTCGCCCAGAACCTGCCTCTAAAACCGTCGCTGTACTTATATTCGTGGAGTAAGAGTACTTTTTAGTTGAGTCTTCTTCGTTTACTTCTTCATCGTTGATTTCTCCATAATCGCAGCTTTCTTCATCATCGCTGCTTTCCTCTTCATCGCTGCTTTCCTGACGATCGCTGTTTTCTTTTTCATCACTGCTTCCATCATCAATGCAGCTCCTTTCATCATCATTTCTTCCTTCATTATCGCTCTCTTCCCTAAACCCTTGTTCTTTATGGCCATTATCATCTGAATCCGCAGTGATCACAAACGTGACGGCCTTCTTGTTATAGTTGGGTTCAATGCGAGAGTCAACATCGAGTCTTAACTCATCAAATGATGTGGTCACTCCGTAAACAAAATCTTGCTCCTTATTCTTCATCACCGGCCGGCAGTCGTCCCCATCCATAAAGAAATATTTTTCACCGTGCACAACACCGCGGTCACTTTCGTTCGTAAGTCGATACCTCTTCTGCGCAGCGAAAGAGTTGTCGATGTAGACTGTGGACTTGAAGGCCTCGGGCCAGACCCCGACCTGATGGAAATGTTTTATTTGATTGCGTTGCAGGATGCGCACAATCTCTGCCTTGACCTTCTTCCCCTTCAGGATGGCTTCAGTCACGACGAAGCCGCGTCGTCTCACGTGAACATGGCGGCCGAATTTGGCGGGCATTGAGGCGATGAACTGTTCTCCATCAGGAGCACCCACCTGGATATGAATATAATTAAATTAACAACGAGTTCTGAGATTAAAAGTCGTACCGCAGCTGGAATATAACAATTTAAGAGATAAATTGAATTAAAGTAATCAGTGATATAGAACCTTGCCATGACACAACACTTTCTAGCGGAGTAATGCTCGTGAATACTCCGGTAAAAACTCAATACAGTGATGTCATATTATTATTAATCATTATGGATTTGGCTTAATCATCATTGAACAATATTAAAGGCCTTAAGAGTGGATAAGTCGGAATAACTTAAAGAAGACTCATGTTTTCAGTAACGCACTTGGAGATTACGTCGTCAAACGTGGCCTCAGCAATGAAAAAAATTTGTCATTTTATTCAATATTAAACAATACGACGGTAAATTCATGCCATAACTTGCAGCCACTAAGGTAAATGAGAAATAAAATAAATCGCTAGGCATTATTCATGAGAACATTTGACATGTATAGATGTATATAACACACCAAACCACTTCAGTATAACAAACTGAACAACAGTGAAACTGTTGTTCAGTGAAACACATAAAAGTGAAAAGTGGTGTGTTCAAGTGAAACGCATAAAATGGCTGCCATCTCACCAGGTATGTGCTGTTGCCCAGCACCCTGATGATGGTGCAGATGGTGTGTCCTGGAGACGGCAGCTCATAGTCCATCTTGGTCTCCGCAGCAACGGACTTCATTTTGGTGATCCGGGACATTTTCAACTGGTACAGCTTTCTGAAAAAAAAAACAAGGTTAAGATCAATGATGCAAAAATTTATGAGTGTGCAATTGCTATGCTTGTAATGGATCCAAAATAGCCAAGTTAAGATCAGTTCTCCAAACAATGTAAAATTCTCAAATCTCTTTACTATTTTAGTGAAATTACGGAATATTAGTATCTCTGATTTTCACCACAGAATTTCAGGAATATATTGAACGACAACAGATATTTAATTGAAAAGAGCACTCTCAGCATTAGATTTGAAAATAATTGAACCACTGAATGTATCAACACTTTATCGTAGATTTGCTATATGATCTCAGTCGGCATGGTTATGAAGAAAACATAAAATTTGTTA